GCCAAATGTACATGTACGATCACCGATGCCAGGTGAGTAACTCTTCTTTCTTATTCAGCAGATTGTGAGCCCTGATAGTACATCAGGCCTCAACTTCCTTGGTGTGTTTTGGCAGCAAAGAGAAGTAATGCAATTTTAGACTGTGTACACAAACGCATCTGTCACAGAGCAGGGGAAGAACGCCCCGATGTTGCCCTTAGGAAACATCATCCAGCATGAAATATGGTGTGCTCTTCTAGCCCTTACAAATCTGGAAAGTTTTGATCAAAGAGGGAAGAGAGCTCAGAGGGGAGTCACAAATATGGATGGAGGAAAAGCAAAAGTTTTAAAGACTGTGGCAAACATTCTGTGGCCAGGCAATGACTAAGGGGTGTGAGGAAAACATTTACAAGCCCAGGGAAAGGGTAAACATGAAGGAGAGAGAAGGATTGCTTGAAGTGCACAAAAGCAGAATAACGGCAGTAATGAGATGAAATTGAGCAAAGGAAAACTTAGGCTGCACATCAAGGAAGAGCTTGCTAACGGTGGAGCCTATTAGACTGCCAAATAGCCTCTCAAGGGAAGAGATTTGAGCTCCATTGCCTGGGTCATTTAAAACAGGACTGGACAAAAGCACTGAAGGAGACATTGTGGGGAACAAGCCTGCCTTGGCAGGGGAGAGTCAAGATGACCTACCAGTTCTTGTTCTTTCTCTCTAATTTTTGTGATATATAACATCACATCATTACATTGCCTCCAAATGGGCTGCTCCTTGGGCTGAGGTTATAATGAGAGTGGATTACTTAGCATGCAATGTACTCCAGGGGAAGCATGCAGTGGCCCAACCTGTAAACCACAGCTCATTAACCAGCAGCTACTCAAATTATTCTGTGCATCTCTGGCCTAATTCAAATTAGAATTGGAGGGTTTTTCCTGACAGGCCAGATGAAAGCATCAAGTTCTCAGCATTTTACAACCTGTTTTTACTATGAGCTATGAATTCTACATGTTTTTTAAAATTTGATTTTGTCTCAACAGATATAGGAGGGAAAAATGTGCTGGAAAATAATTGGAAAATGGAGACTGGCAAAAGTAGATTGCCTTCAGCACGGGATATGCTGCAGCTATAGCTGATAGTATAAAGCTAGTCACTTAGGGGAACAAGCCCTTTTCACCGGAATAAAACTGCAGCCTATGAGTACGCTCGGAGGACTGCAATATACATTTAAATGGGTATGGGTCTCCAGTAGCCCCTCATAAAACTAGTGAGTAGTGGCTAAGTGAGCACCTCCTGGCTTCTTCATTGCTCATCCTTACTTTCAGAGTATCACCTGATCCTCATATGTAAATCATGGAGAAAGTAGAGAAGTTTATTAGAAAACTATGAGTAAATAAGAATATTTTTCCAATGCAGCTGATGGAAATCAGTCTCCATGTTGTAAAGTTGTACCTTAAATGTGAATTATTTGTTAGACTTAATCAAACTGCACTTGTGAGTTATTTATTTTGTGCCTATCTTTTCCATGCTGCTTGCACCACCATTTGGATTGTGAGAACAGTTATTTAACTTGTTCATGATTCTTCCTCTCCCTTCCAAGAGTGTTCTACACCTTGACAAATACTAAATTAATACAAACACTTTCCAGAACCCTTAATCCATATTCTACAATTTCTCAAGTCCCCAAATTAATCACCCTAGCCTCAAATTCAATTAAATAATCCTGTATTACTGATCTTTTATTTTTACTTCTCAAAATTTCATCTGTGTCGATATGTCATTAATTCACCCGCCATTCAGAAAATATTTAAGAAAGTAAATAATATGCCTGGTACCATGTTAAGGCCTGGGAACTACAAAATAATTGCTACCATCCTCACCTCAAGGTCCTGGTTGGGATGGTCTGGCTGGTAAAACAGACAAGACAAATAAACAAACAGAGCACAATGTGGAAAGCGCCCCATCCTCATTGGAAGAATAACAAACTATAGTATTTTTAGAGTCCAAGGAAAGGAACGACCGAATCTACAGAGATAGGAATGAGAGCGTGGAGGCATTTGACTGAATAATATCTGTGTTCTTACCGGGTTGCCCTAACTTTCCCTTATGCATATCTCCACTTGAATACCTGCTTGTATCATCGACCTTTCAATCTATCCAACTGAATTTCATTAGATAATTTACATCAATCGTCCTCTACAAATATTCTATCTAAAAAAGCCACCTAGAGGTGGGAGGATCCCTTGAGCCCAGGAGTCTGAGGTTGCAGTGAGCTATGATGACACCACTGCACTCCAGCCTGGGTGACAGAGCAAGATCCTGTCTCAAAAAAACAAAAAAAAAGAATAGTTGTCCTCTTTCTTCACTTCCCACTCTGAGAACAGAGAGCCAGAAAGTCACCCCCAATCCGTCATTTTTCCAGTCCAGAAATAGCCATTCCCAAATGTTTATGGCAGCACAATTCACCATTGCAAGGACATGGAAACAACCCAAATGCCCGTCAATTCATAAGTGGATTATGAAAATTTGGTATATGTTTACAATGGAATATCACTCAACTTTAAGAAATGACAGTGAGCTAGCACCACTTATATTATCCTGGATTGAGCTTGAGCTCATTATCCAAAGTGAGGTGACATAAGCTTGGAAGAATGGGCTCCACATGTACTCACCATCAAATTGGTACTGACTGATTAATACTATGGTGCTCAAATGGTGGTGGTGTTCACCAGGGATTAGGGGGTTGGAGGGGTAGACCCTCATCTGAGGGATGTGGTGATCATTGTGGAGGGGAAGGACATACCTCTAACCCTTGCTAGGGAGAGGCAAAGATATAAAATGCAACCAAAATGTCTGTACTCTAATATTTTCTTGAAATTAAATAAATAAAAGAAAGAAGAAAAAAAGAGCCATCTAATATATTATAGCTACCTCATTGTTGAGATTTGCAGCTCATCCTTTATACTCAAGTTTTGCTTATGAAGACATTGATGTGAGCTAGGAGCAAGTTTGTTTTTTTCTTAAGACATAATAGCTCTTTTAAATTGGAAAAAAATAATTATACATTGACAATGTTTTACAAGTTTCCCAAAAGATCAGGTTCCCTCAAAAAAGGATTCCCTCAAAAATGGATTATTCTATTTCTTTACCATTCAATTTTTACAGTGGGCTTGCTAGCCAGGTTGCAGAAATAGTTGAGGCTCCTTGGTTTAAAACACAGATGGAACACTTCTGTTTACAGGAATTCTAGATCACTGGTTTTTTCTAAAAGTGCTACACAATTTCAATCCTCTATACCTCTGCTCTCTCTCTAGAATAGTTTTTCTCTTCATCTTCTCTACCTTTTAAAAATCGTATTCTTCCTTAAAGTCTTGGATCCAGTGCTATGGTCTCCATGAAAACTTCCAAGGAAACCATCTTTCAGTCAAGATTAAATTGTGCATACCTTCCACAAATTCTCTTTTACTTACTCTCTTCTGCTTTATATTATCTATATGCCAGATTGTAAACTTATGGAGGACAAGGGGGTATGACTTATTAGTCTTTCAATCCTTCAGGGATTTGTACATACTAGATGCTCAACTAATGAGCTTTCAGTGAATACAAATGTTTTATAATCTGTAAACCAGATTAAAATATATTCATCAAGGTACATATACATACACCTTCATTCCCTTTTAATTTTTCCTATTATTCCATCCATCCTTTTCAAACAAATACTAGAGGTCTGATAAAGTTCTTTTTGTACTTAGAACTTGAGGTGAAGAAATTGTGGTGAAAGCCACAACTCTGTCCTTAGCTAAGCCCTATTGGGAATACATTGAATACAATAATTAAAAATCACCAAAACTCTCATAAAGTGGTTTATTGTCATATAAATAAGTTTTGTTCTTTGAACGTTGAAAATACACCATTCATTTAAAAAATCTTAATCCTAAAATTTCTGAGCAACCTTTGGTATATGTCTTATGCAGCATCTACTCTTATATCTGTTCAAACCTGGCTATAGTTACATTTCACCATAAATGGAAGCCTTAAAGCCATCTACATATCTTCACTCTTTAGTGATTACTCTCAAATGCTCCCTCCAAAAAGATTTGAGAAAAAGTGGCCAAAATGATTTTCAAGAACTATGAGAAAACTATAGAACTATGGGCCCTAAAAACTAGATCTTAGAGATAATTATGGTACTAATAATAAACAATTCGATTTGGGTGTTTTTAGAGTTTAAAAAACATTTTTGAGGTTTACCAATTGTAATTATACCACAAATCACCACCCTTTACATGAGCTTTCTCTACAAAGTTCCAAATAAATGGGCAATCAACTTGCTCTGGAATATTTCTAAGGGCTGAGAATTCACTACCTTATACAGACACTCATTCCTTTGTTTAGGCTTCTCGTTGTTGAAATGTTTTCTGCATGATGACTTAATCAAAATCCCAGCAACTTTCACCCCTTGTTCCTATTTTTGATCACTGAGTCTCACAAAATATGTACAACCTCTAGTCCTTTGGATAACCTTTTTATTATGCCAGATCTGCTTGTCACCATATTTGAAAACTGTAATTCTTTACAAGTTCTGCTGTTAAGTTATTTATATTACTTTAATCCTTACAACAAGTCTCTGAGTTATGGATTATTTTGATCCTCAGAAGGAAAGTGAAGCACACAGAGATGCCTGCTGGCACAGAGCTCATAAATGGAAGAGCCATTACGAAACCCAGGCTTCAGACTCCAGAGCCCTCACCCTTAGTGGGTAGGCCATGGTGTTTTCTTACCACCCTGTGTGCTTTCGTCAGCTTGGAGACTGCAGATTTCACCCCAGGCCTCAGAAGAAGAGAGGGAGGGGAGACTCAGCATCAATATTTTTTAAATCTCAAGTGATTGTAATGTGCCCTCAGTAGTCCAGGGCATAGATTCACAAGTTCTAGTGTTCACAGAAATCATCTTAAATTCTGATTCAGGAGCAGTTTGGGATTAAGTTTGGGATTAAGAAATAGACATTTTTGTCAGGACTCACCACAGGCAATTTTGACGTGGGCAACATTGAGCCATGGAATTCCTATTCTCACGCCACTCTAATGTGCCATGGAGTGAAGGCATCTGAGAAATAGGCAAAGATTTCCTGTATCACCAACATGCTCAGGATCACAGTGGCCAAATTCACCTCCTCATTTCTTCCCCACCCCAATGAATCAGACTATCAATGAATCAGAATAGAAGTACTTGATAAGTACAGGTATCAGATACCCAGTGTACCCCAATTACAGAGTCATTATTGAAAAGCAAGGTCACCTGAGGTGGGTGTAACAGCGTATACTGAAAATACAAAAGATGCACTATTGAAAATATTTAGAGCAGGCTATCTTTTAACTGTTCTTAAAATATCATCATTATGTACACACATATCTTTTCACATTCCATACAATATTTTTATATAAATAAAATCTGCTGACTTCCAGTCATTTCAACAAACATATTTAGTGCACCTGCTAAATTCCAGACACTATGTTAAGGGGACAGAGGGGGAGGAAAGAGATAATTATGAAGATGAATAAAACATGGCCCCTGCCTTTGAAGAACTCATATTCATGGACTGACTCAACTCCTTTCATTACAACCAAACGGAGACCATAGCCCCAGATGACCAAAACCCCTAAGCATAGCTCCAAACATCACAATTCTGTTTATGGTCAGGGAGTTGTACCCATTCACATTATTTCCACCCTAACTCTCATTGCTTCTAGAACCATTCTAACATCTGATTCCCTTCCAGATTTTTTTTTACTGTATTCAGATCTTCATTCACTCCTCAGACTAATAGCACCTCTTGCCCTTCCCTCTATATTGCTACTCAAACATGACCCAGATCCACCCATGAATTCTCTCTAGCTCCCTCTGTGGCCACTTCTGGCATATTCCAACCCAGTGCCATTCTACCCATGTGATGGGAATTCCTTCCTACCAGACCCAGCGCCACAAAGTGAGTGTTGCACGGTTCATAGTCTCCCAAGAGGCACATTCAAATGTATCCACAATTAATCATATGCCAGAATATGTCATAATGTTTCAGGGAAAAAAGCAAAAACCACCATGGTAGTATATTGGAGGGAAGGATTATTTCTAACTGGGATGATAGAGGGCAGCTTCATGAAACTGTGATGTTTGAGATGTATCTTAAAGAGGAAGGAAGAATCTATCAAGAGTGAGTTAAGAGCAGTCTAGATGATGGGGAGAGCGTGAACAAAGGAATGGATTGAGGGGGAAGTATGGGAAACTATCAGTTTGAGAAAATAGATTGGGGGTAGAAGGAAGGTGGTTGGCAAAGGCTCAAAAGTTAATTGGAAAGGAGATTTGAGTGGCCTTGAATTCCAAGATAAAGTTTTGAACTTTATTCTCTATAGAATTAGCCGTTAAAAGTCTTTCAGTAGGGATATGATACAATCAGCTATGCTTTACGAATAATACTTTGGCTGCAGTTTAAAAGATAAATGGGAATTGGTAGAGGTGACTAAGGAACAAACCATTAGAATGAGACATTTATTCTCCCCAGAAGGTGAGCTGGGCATTCTCCATGTGCCCTCAGGGCCACTCTCCTCTCTCCTGCACCTGCTCTCTCTCCTGAGAGGCGGTAGGGAGCATCCACTCCTTCGCCTCTGCTTTCCTGTTAAGTTGCACCAAAGGTGAGGACCCACAGGAGATCTGGGGGAAGAAGGAGAGTGAGCTTGAGCACATATTTCTCCATTTTCTCCCTGCAAGGTAACCTTGGGTGGCTGTGTCCTGTCCTAGTCGTGGCTCCTGTCACTGGCCCACTCCATGCCCACCTCTCTCTAAAGTCCAGGGGCTGCTCTCTCCCCTTTCCCCCGCAGGCCTAGGGGTCATAGCAGTAGCCACCCCTAATAGTACCACATTCTCCCTGATGGTTTAACTACACCTTTCCCACACCTTAGCAAATAATCTTTGTCAAATTGTTCTCAACTTTCTCAAATTGTGTGTCAGGTGCAGGAGGCACTAAGTGCCCTTGAACGGGAGTGATGTCCAAGAGCATGGAAAGGCAAGGGTAGTGCTCCTGAGGGCACCACCTAAAAGTTCCTTCCTTGCTGAGGAGATAATAGCTATGGTAAGGCAGCCGTCACAGCTGAGTTAATTTATCCGTTTCAGATTGATGATGAAATCACAGAACATTTCTGACATTCAATCCATGTCTGATAGAAAAGGGCTTTTAGTTGTGAGGCGGATTCATGATCAAACAATTTGCTTTAGAACTAAGAGGAGATACACAGCATTTTGAAGTCAGACTAGCATGGCTCACAGATACAGTGGCCCAAGGCTAGGTAACTGTGATCACAAAAATAAGGCTTCTTTTAACACAGGAGACAAGATGTGTGACTGTTTATATAATGTATGCAAAGGCTGATTCATAGAGGAAGGCACTGAGAAAAGGGAGTGTGAGATGCTGAAGCTGCAGTTCTTTGAGCAGAATTGTAGAAGAAAATGTTTGGAGTCTTCTATGTGGGTCTATAGAGCAGTCTATTCAAACAGATCAGATAATACCTAAAGGGCAGGTGGCTTATTTGTTCTAAATGCAGCAAGAGGTAATGGCATGCTTAAGTCATTTCTGCAGCAGCCTGTAATTTCACCAGTGCTCAAACATTTCCTTTGACAGCTGTGCGGTGCGTTCATTGTGTTGTCAATGTGAGCTCTATAAAGGAGAGAGTGCCTGCTAGGAGAAGAGCTGGGGAGAGCAAGTGTTCAATGTTTTTTATCTTTCCAATTGGCTTAAAGCAATCAAGTAAGGCAAGAATCCTCTATCCTGAAAATATTCAAATTGCCCATTTCACACACTATTCCATCTTTTATAGAAAGATAAAGTTAATCTTCCATGATTTACTTGAAGTTAGCGATTATAAGTTATCTACTTTTTGACCAGCCTTATCACATTCTCTGGAAATATATTTAAATGGAGTGGAAGGGAAAATTGAATGGCCATGGGGAGGGGGATGTAGAATTTTTAAAAAGTACAACTCATGTAAGTCATGGAAATAGAGTTCAAGAAAAATTTTTAAAAAGCAACTTTTCAGAATTGAATTACAAAGGAAAAGGAAAAAGGGATTGGTTCCTTTTCTTCATTTTGGAAAAACAACATGGTAAATACCAAACAAGGAAAAGCAAGGGTTGGGGAATGGTCCTTGTCTTTTGTGAGCTCTTGGCCCTGAATAAAGCAGCTGTGCTTCTGACAAATGCCAATGTCCCTCTCTTTGGCCCCACAAGTTCCTTTCTTTCTCAATCAGCATTACTCCCTATGGAGAACTGAGGATGGGAAGACCACAGAGAACCAAGCAAAGCCTCTTTATTAGTCCTCTTTCCAGCCTGGGCTGTGAGTGTTTCCCGCTGGGGGTAGGCGTGGGCGGCAGCAACAACTTAATGACAACCTCCCCCTCCCCAACAAAAAGCACACTTGACTTCAGCTTACTGCCCAACAGATGCCAGGACACCAAGTTAAGTTCTTTTCCTTTTTTTTTTTTTTTTTAACACCCTGACTAGCCTGTTAAAATACTTCAATCGATTGACCTAATTTTAGTTCACCTCTACACAACTGTATGCTGTGCAATTGGTTCATAACTCCCACTGATTGAAAAGTAGCCACAACAGCTGGTGACCCTGTTTGAAGCTGACAACTCTTTTTTCCATGTGTCTTTTTTGTTTTGTTTGGCCTTGCTTTGATAGCAAAGCAGTCTCATGGTCCCTGATATTTTAAACATTTTAATAAGTGGACTTTCAGCAAGTCCCAGCAGCCAGAAGACTTTAAGAGCCCATAGGTCCAGATTGGCTTATTCTATGTTTTCCTTGTTTACTAATGGTAACTAATTGTCTTAATTAGTGCTAATTAAAAAGGTATGATCTCTGACATTAGCACAAACGATGGGGTTTCGGATGGGATAGAACAAATACACTAAGTTAAACTAATTGAGGGAGAGATAGCTTGAATGGAAAGTCAAATAATGTTTTTAAAGAAAGACCATTCACAGGTATTTACTGAATACTTTTTATGTGCTAGGGGCTAGGACATGGCATAGTCCCTACTCTCAATGAATGTACGGTACAATTTAATTGAGGTATCAAGATATATATTCCTGTCCCAAGATTTCTGATTCTATACAATTAAGTAATGTTTAGGTCTATAATTTGTGGGGAAATGAGAGGTATGACAGGAAAAACTAACTAGACACCAGTACTAGATATAAGCTAACATTTATTAAGTACTTAATAAGCGCCATTCTTCTAAACACTTTATATTCTATGTAATAGGTGCTATGATTTAATATCATCTTATGGGTGAGAAAACCATAGAAAGGTTTAGAAACTTTCTAAAGGTCACATAGCTAGTAAGTGGAATTTGCTGGCATCAAAGCCTGCATGTTTTAACTATTTAGTAGATAACAGCATATACCAAGCCTTAAAGGGAGACTCCTCCATATTGAACAGAAGGAAAATTGCATTGCATCTAAACAGAAAAAAAAAAAAAATTATAGAACGTTGTCAAGAAATACCTGACAGAAGTTCCCAAATAATGAGAATTATTCCTACTATTCCAATAGCTTACTATCCAGCTCCAACTAAGGGTCCTAAAATATCTGATGAGAAAGGGTGAGGAGCTGAGTTAAGGATAGTAAGAATTGTATGCAGCCAGAAGGCAGTTTAGAGGAGGGAAAATTCTGGAAAAGTTCACCCTATTCTAGTTCTGTGATCTTTGTACTAGCCTGATTGTGTGACTCTGTGAATCTCTAATCTTAGTGGCCATACAGTGAATCAGAAGCAAAACATGGATGCAATAAGGCCAAAAAGTACAAAATTGTTTTCTTTTGCATTTACTCATTAAGTAAATTTTACTGAGAGGCTAATTTGTGCTTTATATCCCATTAGATATTATGATATAGTGATGAATAAAGCCGACAAAAGTCCTTGGGTATAGAGCCTACAGGTAAATGGGGAAATCATTAAACAAATAACAACATGATAAATGCAGTAAGAGCCATGAAGAGATACAATGTACTTGAAAGCATATAATAGAGTGGTTTCTGGGAGTCAAGGAAGATTCATAC